ACCTTCCAATACTTGGGTTTTTAGTAGGGATCCCTCCCAGGGTGAGAAGACTCAAAATATTTTGCTCCTGTCTAGTAAGATGCGAGATCAACAATATGTCTTTACTTGATCCTTCTGACTCAGTTGTTTTGTTTCCTAACCTCTTCAAATGCTGTCCTTTTCTTTTTGTCTTGTGTTTTCTCATACGCTTTGTTGGAACAAGGACTGTTGTAGAATTACTGTTGCTGGGAGGTGGGTTTAAGGTATTGACTGTGTGTACATATTAGTCTCCTCTCAAATCCAGTGCCCTCCCTTTGCAGTACTGTAGATTCCCCAGCTCCTCATTGGAATAATCTTTGACTTTTGAGGGGTTTTACTTCAAAGGAGGTAGTCTTCATGTCGTTTTCTGTTGATACTTCTGACCTCTTACAAACTGTTGTCCACAAGTGAGGAAGAGCAGTCCTCCAGTCAGCCCTTCTGGGGCTCTGGTGAACAGAGATACCTACTTGGAGCTGTCTCAGGCTCTGTAATACTCCAGTTCATTCAGCCTCTGTGCCTCAGTAAAGATCTGTTTCCTTTTTTCTGCCTTGCTTCACACTGCATGCTCTTTTGGCCTTACTGTTTATTACCTGTAAGTGATATGATCAGCACATTTGTGTGGTGATATCAGATGAGATCTCTTCAATCTTTTGCCATATAATTTAAGATGTCATTAAATTAACATTTTACAGTGCTGGATTCATGTCTAAAACCCGAGAGTGATCACAAGCTTTGAGCTAGTTATTCACAAAACCTCTGCTAACATGTTGAAGTCTTGTAGGTTAGGTGATTTGGGATGGGCTATTCACAAAACCTCTGCTAACATGTTGAAGTCTTGTAGGTTAGGTGATTTGGGATGGGCTTTTCAGCTCTCTCTGAATCCTAAAAAGCTCTGAGAATTATGAATGCAGAAAGTGCGATCAGAAAGGATCAGCTGAAAACCTGACAACCAGATTTAGCAAATCCAGTTTTGAATGACAAACCATTAGTATTATGTACGATTGCATCTTGCTAAAATTACACAGGAGATAATTATATAAATTAATTTTAAAAGGGAGTGTCTTAGAATCAATTCTGATCCTTGCACAGATCGGATGTGCTGTTTTATACTTCTTCCCTGGCATAGGATATACACAAGTCTTCCTATTTTTGTATTATTTGTATACAATTTTGTTTCATTAAAAGAAAAAGAATCCACCATTCCTAATAAAATAAAACATTATGCACCGTCCAAAACATTGATTCTACTTCTCCTATCACATTTTGTCACCTGCATAGCCTTGAGTTTTGGCAAATTTCCATTCCTGGAACATGTCTTTAGTTATTGCTTGTCTTCGTTGCTGTTTTGAACAAGGATTCAAAGTAAGGAATTGAAACATTTCGAGTCTGATCCTATCTGACAGAAGCTTACCCTTGGATCTTAAATTTGTCAATCCAGTCCTAAGTCTCTTTGCTAGCAGTGGAGACGCTGACAATCACAGAAGTGAAATACTGCTTCTAGAAATGCTTCAGCTTTTGACTACTGTGAACTTCAGTAGTTTTCTCAACTGGGTGCAGAATGCCCGGATTATAACCAGCTTGTCTTTCCGTAACAATTTGAGCAAGTTTGTAATGGCATGAACATACTTCAGAGTCCTCTAACTATAGATACCTACTATGAGACATCACATCTACCAGCCCCACAAGGTGAAAGATTAGTTGTACTGTACACTCAACTGTCTTCTGTGAATTAACTTTGGGAGTCCTGGTGTTGCATGGCTAAAAACAGAAGTGGTGAAATGGGAGGTTAGATTTCTAAGTGCTTCCACGGGAGTGAACTGAAGTTAGCTAAGGGAAAGAAAAGTTGATATAGATTGTATCATTCAACCTAGCTAAAGGATGGCTAAGCGTGTAAACCTTTTTCTAGCAATATATATAGATAAAGTCCAGGAACACTACCACTATATTTTCTATTGGCTTTGTTGTTGTTTTCTCAGTAGTTTATCTGTCTGTCACCAACATGCCAGATGGAGATTTGATGACATAAAAGAAGTTATAGGATGGAGAGATGACAAACCCTGAACATGGTTGTATCCCTGCTGTTAGCAATGCACATAGGTCATAGGCTGGGACTACAACATTACAGAATGCCCCTTCCTAGTTACATTTGATTTTGCCTGTAATATCAACATCAGTTTATTCCATTAGGACTTCATTTGATGAAAATTTCCCCTGCAGACTGCTTAGCTTAAAGAGGTTTTTTAAATGACTTTGATACTTGGTACACATGAAAATGCTGTATCTTGAGAAGCTATTAAATACCTTGTTGGATAAGTTGCCATAATTGACCAAAAATTTTAGGTCAAAAATTTCTTTGGTGTTTTTTGTAAATACAATACAGGGTACAGCTCAAGCTGGATTTGACTCTGTCACCTGACTTAAACAGTTCCTTTCTATTGTTTAATCCTTCTTAAATTGTAAGTACAGTTGTAAAATGACCAGTCATGCTCATAAGCAGAGAATTACTGGATTGACATGGAGCACAGAGTGCATCATTGCTTGTTTAGAGCATTGCAGTCATTTTCTGCAGCACCATATAGAGAACACACTCTGAAGGGAAGTAGAAGAGCAGAACTGATAGTGGTATATGATATATTTCTCCTACAGATGGGAAATCAATAACATATTTTTGATGAAGGTTGGTAGCTGCAATTCATGTTTGTAAATGCAATGTATCAAATCTATGTAGCATTAACAAAAAATCTTTGTGGGCTACTTAAAAAATGTTATTTTATTTCATTCACCTGTAAAATACATTATGTATCTTCAACTGCATGCTAGGGATAGCCAGCATGGGAATGAGAAATATTGCTTAGAGCCAGCATCAAATGTTTTTGCACTTAGACATCACTGGGAAATGCAAAGTTCTCTGATAAAATAGGTTGATGATTCTTTCAGTAAATCATAAAAGTCAGCATCTCTGGCTGGGGGTCAGTCTGACTTGCTGCTAGAAGCTGAAAGTAATACCTGTTGTAATTCTGCGGGACTTTATTGCTGTTACTGCTGCCTAGAGAAAATGCAGATACATAGTCAGTAGATTTGGTTTGGTTTTACTTAATAGTTCATTTAATAAATCTGCCTTGTCTCAATACTGAAAACAGTAACGAGAATACTTGATCATTTCTTCGAGCTCTAATTTTCAGGAAGGTGGTGTTGCTATGCACATATATTTGAATCTTCATAACACAAAGATTAAATCACTAACAGAAGTACGTAAATGGCAAAGTAATAAAGGGAAAATATCTAAATACACAAAAAAAAACCCTGTAAGACTACAGAAATCATATCATGTAACTGAAGAAAATGTGAACATTTTTGGTGTTATTAGGCTTCGAGGACTTCTTCCAGAGGAGCTCCATTCTCTATTATTAAACAGCAAGAATAAAGGGTATATAATCCAAAAGATGTGCAATAATAGTGGTTACAGTTTTTGACAAAAGTTAAATTGAAGCAAGACTCAGTCTTTTCTCTCCATTAAGTTTTCTTGTGCTCCTTCAGTATTTTTAATCATAGTATTAACTAATGACATTAATCACTCTTTTCTTTTGAAATTTCATACAGAATTATATGCATTTGACCCAAGAAGTATTTGTATGATTACGTAGTAAGTGAGCAAAGCTTTAACTTGCTTATGACAAACTAGATTATATACTACTTAATTGAAAGGAATAAATGAAGTCTTCCATTTATCCTACAAGTAGTACAAGGTAGGAGCCTTCCGTTTTAGAGAAAAACTGCATTTTCATCTAGTTGGTTCTGTGGCCATCAGGAAACTGCAGCTTTCCAATGTCTTCAGAGTTTATCTACTTCTCCTCCTCTTGCTTGTGGAGGAAGATGAAGAATAGGAACTGTGTGCCTGGGATGCTGTGGACACCAAACTCTGGCAAAGATTTTTCAGTTGTCCCAGATAGAGGACAGTAGCTCAGGCTCTGTAATCAAGCAAACCTTAGGTAATCCAGTAATTCTCTGCTTATGGTGGCAAACGAGGTTAACTATAAAAGCCTACTTTTCTAAGAAAAGCTGCTTTACATAGAAAGCATTTCTTTATCTTGATAATATGTGTGTGGTGGGAGAGGAAAACAACAGCAGCTAAAGGTTCATACAGAGCTGCCTTACTGGTCAATTGAGTGCTTGACTCTTAATTATACAACAGCAATATCCTGATCTGATCTTTAAAAATGAATCATTGCTCTTACATACCACAAAAGAGATTGTATTTAGTAATACAATTATTTTTAAAATATTATTGTTGTTACTGTTATTGTAATGTTCTGACCCAAATATTTGGAAATGTTCTAAGGCAAGTATTTGCTGTTGGTAAAGGGTGGACTATTAGAAGCAGCCAGTGTATAACAGCCACAGTAACTCCAACCCAAACTAATGCTCAATGTGTGTCTCAATAGAGATATTTAGAATGGAAGAGCTTACTTCAATCTGAGTTAAAAGAGAAGTTTCCTTCTTCTGTATTAGTTGTGTCTTTTATCGTCTGAGACATTACAGTTTGACCTAAAGAAAGGAAGATAAAAACACTGATTAATCTTCCTGTCATCAAGTGGTTGTTCCTGCTAACAAAGAAGAGAACACTGTGTTCTCCTGCAATATATTTTCTCCTTTATAACCTTCATAGGAAACCAGCCATATACAAAAATCAGAAACTGTATGATTTACTCATATCCCTTCAGTGTTTATATTTCTCAAAGGGAAGACAGAGGATGGTAACTGAGAATATTGGATGATAGAACACCTTGGTTAACGGTCTGTGGGATTGCAGTCTTTGTGGTTATCACCAAATTGCCAAAAGCAGTATGTAATCTTGACTGGAAAAACAAGTGTGTTGTTTTCTGAGATGAAACAATTTCCAGCACCCTGGAGGCTGAAAAAGTTAACATCTCATTGCAATGATACAAATATTTCTCAATTGCCCCAAGTGTACTAAGCTAGTGAGCATTTATTAAGACTAATAACTTCCTCAACTGACTTAGAACATTAATAGTACTAATAAAGTTGGATCTTACTTTATCACAGTATATTGCCTTTGAACTCATATACAAACCCACTAAATTTAACTATTAAGCTAGTTTAGTGGTTAAACTATTCTGAACTAATACTTAATGGATAAAAATAAGTGCTGTTACTAAACAAAATTGTAAATACAAATGCATCGTTCCCAGTATTCCTCACATCTACAAGTCATCAGTAGAAATAATATTAATTTTCTGATATATTAATTTTTTAGAATCATCAGAATTTCTTTGATAGGTTAACTTGCAAATTAAACAGGTTTCACTTTGACTAGTATTACTTTTTATCTTGTATCTCCAACTGGATGTCTACAGATTCAAATCAGACATAGAAGAGGGCTTAAACTATGATGACCACATTAACTACATACGTTAAATAGCTTTATCCAAATGTTCCTTCCTGCATAAGCATTTTATACATTATAAGAATATGGCTTTTAAAAATGTTACCTACTACTTGGTTTAAATATGTCATTTTACAAGAGCGAACAGAAGAATTTGTGAATGCATTTTCCAAATTGTAGAGATTTTTAGCAAGGACACAAGAGTTTGTTTTTCAGAGACCCCAAATGGTGCAAACAGACTATGTAGGATCAATAACAATGCCTTGCCTATGATTATCTGTGCTGGAACTCTTTTTAGTAATTAATTTTCCATGCCTGTTTAGCCTAAAGCTTCTCAGGGGAGGAGACTGCTAGCTGTACCCATGTAAAGATAGTGGCTATCATGGTTATCATTTAAGAATTAATAGTTTGTGACATGCAGAAATGAAATAAATAGGGCTGCATAATTCTTCAGTGTTGAACTGGGTTTAGTTCCCAGAATGACAAAGGTAGGCTGACTTCTTAGAAACTATACAGGATGGATCCATTAAGTTTTCCTTTATTGATAGATCAGAATTTATTTTCTCTCCACATTTGACCGCTCATACAGGCAGTGGCTGAAGGCTTTTACAGGGTAGACACTAAATCCATATTTAGTCCTCAGCTTCACTTCCAAAAAGCTGTTTTAAAAGCCATGTGGTAATATTGATGTTAAACTGTCCTCATGTTGCTGCTATTCCCTTTCCCTGTTTAAATATTTTACTGAGTATTGCTTCTCTTTATCTTAGGGAGAGGTGGAAGGCAAAGTGTCAGTAAAGACTGTAAGATGCACCCTCATACATTTAAGTAGTTTTCTGAATCAGAATCTACTGAACAACTCAGGACAGCACCAATATTCACAGCAGTGCTGCATCAAACCCTGCAACACTGAACTCTTACTCTGTCAGTCCTGGCTCAAGTAACTCTCCTGCTACTCTTACACAAAGCAGGATGCTGGCAAGTTACCCATTTGCTGATGCTTCCAAACTGTTCTGCTCAATGACAGAAAGCAGATTAAGATATGGGGAAAGAACAGCACAGGGTTCAAAAAGCCTTGCTCATCCATAGCTGCCAGGAGATGGTACTCTTTCAAGTAGAGCAGCTGGGGAATCCTTCTTACAGTGGAAAAACCAAACTGAATCTCAAGTTTTCAGCTCCTTTTGCAGATACAGTGTTAGGCTGCACCTCCTTTCTGCTGCTCTTAACTCTCAGAAGGAAGGGAAGAGTGCAGTTAGTTTTACCATATTTTTCTTGCCTTTAAACAGCTTTATCTCATCCTTCCAGGTTTTTGACAGGCAGTTGGGCAGCAGCTTTCTCTTTAAGCTCATTTCTTTTGTATGTATTCTAAGTGTTACAACACTCTACAATTATTCTTCTTATGAGATAAATGTTAATCATTTATTACATTAGAGAGAAGTTCTGCTTTAAGGAAGGTAATCATAATACCAGAGAACACTGTAGTAACGCTGAACATGTCTATTTTGTTAGACCACTGTGTCTTGGGATGGAGATAAACTTCTTTGTGTACAGAATGGAGAAAAAGAAGGTCGTGGTTGGACCCAGTGGATTGAAGGAGATGAAATGCACCTGGTAAGATCATACAATAGGTTTTAAATGCCACTATTAAAATAGATGTAATGCAGGTTGTGTGCTATGTTATCTTGGCTTACACTGACATAATTGTGTATTGGTTTGGCATTTGACGTGTTTCTTAAGCAACAATTTAATTTGGAGCCATTACGTTTTTATGTCCTGTACAAAGACTGCATGATTTCAAAGCAGTACTCTCTGTTAACTGCCTGTCAAGACAAACCAGTTTGAAATGTTTATTCTGAAGAAGACATTTAACAGCATGTCCTTCATACAGTCTGTGAATTATGCAGTATGGGAGCTGATGAAATTGTGCATCCAACAATAAGCCATAAGGTGAAAATGCACCATTGTTCCTCTACAATAATTACAGGCCAGATCACATTAGTGCCTAGAGAACTAAAACAGCAATTAAGTTTTTGAAATGTCATCTTCTTTTAGATCATAATTTCTATGTCTCTAAGTTAATAGGACCTGAAAGAAGATTCCTATTCTTTTCTCGCATAGCTGTTTATAGCTCATCATTGTGGGTAAAAGGCAGTCTTCCTGCTGACATAATAAAATGCAACTTTTATTTCTGTCCACTGTTCAGTATTATCAGCATTCAGCAGTCTAAATTGATGTTCTGTAAATGTTCAAATTGGCAACAGAGTTATGAAATCTTTGCAAAGTACCCCAGACCTGTTACTACTAAATACAATTTTTAGGTAGTACTGGAAATCCCAGAAACCAGCTTGGGAAAGGAATGTATATGACAGATCTTGCCATCTAAACTACATACTTTATATAATGCAGGTAGGGAGGGGTAAGTGGTGTAGGGACCACATTGCAGCTGAGGTCATGGGCTCACGGAAAGTAGGGGGAGTCTCCTTATGAAAAGGAGACTCCAGAATTACCTGTGTACACGTATTCCCTCTGTCTCTACACAAACACAATACAGTATTGCCATACTGCCTCCCAATACAGTTGGTGCCATGACACCATGGTGCCTTTCAGATTCTCTGCTGGCAAACAGCTTGCCGTTAGCCATACAGTATCCAGCCTAGTAGTTTAACTTAGACCTTGCTGCAATCATACACATGTGCACTCATCTGCACATATATGAAGCAACAGCATGAGTTGCTATTGGATTTATCTGTATTGGCATCCTGGTTTGTCACTTGCCAGCTCCATGGTCATTATCACTACCCATTTCCTGTCCCCAAGACCTTTTTATTTAGCTCTGATGGCTGCTATCCTTACAGTGATGCTCTAGTCATGCAACCTAGCCATAGACCTGAAGGCCAGACTGCTTTTTATACCTGACACTGTATAGAGTTTGGTTGTAGAAGTCATAAAATCAGATTCAGTTGCTCAAACGTGTGTCTAGTGCCACTTCAGGGTAACATGACTGCTCTGAGGCTGCTTTTTCAGAAGGCTGTGAAAAATTCTGTATTATACCTACCAGCTCATGCAGGCATCCATGCACTCTTTGGCACTCGTATAGTTTATCACAATCTGTCTCTCGTGTATACAAGTCAGTGCAAAATTACTTCATGCAAAGGAAGTAACCAAGTATTTTAGAGACCAGTCCCCAGTATTTCAGTCTGATCACTTTTTACATTTCATGAACTTCAAAAGATGTCTTTTTTATTTCTCTGGATCCTTACTAATGTAACTTTCTCCATTAAACATAGAGTACAAGAGTCCCATTTACTATCTGGGTTTTGAGCAGCTAAGATTACTAGGTCCTGTACTCCTGAGAGCCCTTTGATACAATGGGTAGTTACCTCTAAAAAATTGATACTTTGATAGCTTTATGATCCTATTGAACTTTACACAATGAGCCAAGTGTTAATTCAATTCTTTCCACAGTTCTGTAGCAAGTAGTACCACATCTCTTAGTAGTTTATTGCTTCCTATTTTCTCCATTTCATCTATGATCTGTACTTTGTAGTTCTTTTTCCTCATTAGAGTCTATTTTATGTGAATGACTTATTTGACCATTCTCCACTTCCTTTTGATTTTTATTGCCCTTTTCTATTGTACTGGTTGCTTCTGCTTTGTAGGTTTTTGTCACTGTCAGCAGATCTCTTCACCCTTATTGCACACTCCTTCTTTCAGGTTACCCATATACAGGTCCTGACTAAAATCACTGTACCAGTCTTGGTTTTGTCAATTCATCATGAAACACCTTCTCTTACTAGGAACTAGTAACATATGCCAATAAGGTTATTGCCTTAGTGTCAGGTTTTTTTCCATATGTCATTTTATCAAAGTTCCCATAAGAAAATGTGCATAAATTCCCAGGATCACTTTCTGCAAGCTCAGGAGCGAGGAAAGTTCCTGCACCTAGGTCAAGGCAATCCCAAGCACAACTACAGGCTGGGCAGAGAGTGGATGGAGAGCAGCCCTGAGGAGGAGGACTTGGGAGTGCTCATGATGAGAAGCTCCCCATAACCTGGCAGTGTGTGCTCAGAGCCCAGGAACCACCCCTGTGCTGGGCTGCATCCCCAGAGAGTGAGCAGCAGGTCAAGGGAGGAGATTCTCCCCCTCTGCTGCACTCTGGGGAGACCCCCCTGCAGTCCTGATCCAGCTCTGTGGTGACAGCACAAGAGGGACATGGAGCTGCTGGAGCGAGCCCAGAGGAGGCCATGGAGATGCTGCGAGGGCTGGAGCAGCTCTGCTCTGGAGCCAGGCTGAGAGAGCTGGGCTGGTTTAGCCTGGAGAAGAGAATGATGATCTTTAAAGCCCCTTCCACCCCAAACCATTCTGATTTTGTGAATATATAATGCGTGTGCCCTAACTTGTATTTTTTAATTATTTTCTCTTCCTAGGAAATAAGAGTGTGTGGAGTCAAGTGTAAGCAGGTCTTTAAGAAGGTGCAGTGAGCCTACTGCTGATACAGGAGTGAAGAACAGTAGAATTTACGCTTACCACCAAATCTCCAAATGCTAGTAATGAACATCATCCCTGACAAGAGCAAATACAGAAATGAAGATCACATTTGGACTGTGTAGTTAGAATATTTTTTATCAAATCATTTAAAAGGAATAAATAACTGCAATTTTTAGAAATGTCCATTAAAGATACTAAACACCATAAATGTGTGCATACGGTAATTCCTGAGTACACCAAAATAGGACTGTTTGGTAAAAAATAAGATAGTGGAATTTAAGAACTTTTAAGTTAATTTTTTACTTAGAATAGAAAACACCCTTAGCCTTAGCAAGGGGCTTCCGGGTAATCTTGTTTTCAGGTGTTGAACTGTAGTTGTAGTGAAGCTGTAGTATGTGGCGTACACTTAAATCCTGATTTCACTGAAGAGAGTGAGAATTTTACCATCATCTCCAATGGAACAGTGCTTCACTGAAAGTATATGAAACTATATGGTAAAGCAATGGATCAGTAGTCTGGGAGGACAGTGCTTAGAGAAGCATAACCAAGGGGCAGTTCTTTTCTAAACACTTCAGCCAATATCTGCCCAGTCATTTCTTTTTGTCTTATTCTGGAGAAACTAAAAGTGAGGTCACTGCTATAGGCTGTATATAGTTGTACACATAGCACACAGAAGATACGACTAGCATTGCTTTGTATTGTATCATTTGCAGAATGTTTTACAACACATCATATTCCTCATGTTCTCATGCAGACTGAGTGTATAACAAAGCATTGGCCTGGCAGTTTCCAACTCTGATTTAATTGGTAGCTATAGTAATAGTAATTTGCAAACTGAAACATTGTATTTTCAGTCTGTCAATATACCTGATCTACAATTGGCACTATCAAACTGTTCTATGATTCTGTGAATCTGTGATTCTGTGATTCTATGAATATGTGTTATTATGAAGGCTGTTGAGAAAAGCTGTCAGCATGCTCTAATATGAAGAAATGAAGATTCAGAAACAGTCACTGTAAACTGTAAAGTTAGTACAGCAGGGATGATAAACTTTCTAAACTCTGGTATTTTAACTGTACAGCATATATTGTGAGTGTAACACCAGATGTGCTCTAATGAAAATCTAATTCAAATTTGTAAAGTTTTAGTTTTTACTGTGCATAAGAAAATACCAGAAAATATTATCAGTGAAGACATAAGCATCCATGTATGATAAAGAGGGGAAAAATGCTCCCTCTCCATGTAAATTCTTCCATTGCTATTGCAACAGCTGTGGGTCATACAGCTTACAATTACACACATATGCAGTGCAGTTGTTTATTTAAGTTCCCTTGTAGTTTTCTTCTTGGCAATACATGAAACTCCTGCCTAAGGAAGACTCTGGGAATTATACTTGAGCCTAGTCAACCAGATAAATGCAGAAGCTGTTTTTTTTCTCATGGAAGAGTGTGTTAGCTATCTAGCTATGTTTCCACATGGGTATCCCTCTTGACTGATAAGCAAACTTGCAGTTAATGGTGATAAAGCTTTCTTGTGCTTGGAGTGGGACAGGTCAAAACTTGTTGCAGTTAAATAGTTGTGGGTGAGGGAAAAGGATCAGAAACATGTGTATCTGGGCCCAAATTACTGTTCTGCTTAAGTGAAATTGCAAATAGCTGTCTATTTAAAGTGCTGTTTATCACCTTGCACAAAGTTGGGGATATCGCAGCTGCCCAATTTCAGTGCATCAGTCATTTGCTTTTCTTGAATGATTATTGTATACAGAAACTTAATCAAGTTTCTGAATGACAGATTTCATAACCATGCACAGCCTTCACACTCCTTTCTACATTTCTGCCCAAAGTAAAGCAAGAGAACAATGGAAAAGAAAGAACGAACTCCAACTTCTCATTTATAATCGATCCTATTTTTTTTCAGACCACCTCTATTTTCCTTCTGATGTGAAAACTGAAACTACACAATAACAAGGTGGTTCACACCATTATCCACAATTAATCTTTACATAATTCTTTTTCATGTTCAGCACTGACTGAGACCTTTTTTGCAATGTAGTTTTCCTTCAATAGAGCTTGGCAGTTCATAACCTTTAATTCACCAGATGTCCTCTAATTTTTGCCTGCAG